AACGTGTGATTCCTAGGTTGCAGAATCATCCCAGCTTCAACCAGATAAATTATCTCGAGAAAAAAATCTGGTCGAGGCAGGAATCGAACCCACGGTCTTCCGATCGTGAGTCGGGCGCACTACCACCGCGGCCAATTCCAACGGTTTGGATTTTGAGCTGGCGGCGTATTTGGTCCATATTCCTTTGAGAACGACATTGGCCAAGCCAACACTATAGCGAGCACTATAGGTCGATGATTACAAACTTCTTTTGGCCCAAATTGGACGATCCGGACACTAACAATATGTGGTTTCAACAGGACGGCGATACGTGCCACAAAGCTCATGTCACATTGGATATTCTGCACAAGCAATATGAGGGCATGGTCATTACACGAGGAGGTGATGTGAAGTGGCCACCGAGATCGTGCGATTTGACTCCCTTAGACTTCTACTTATGGATTTTTCTCAGGTTCTCAGACAGTGGTCCTCAAAGCTAACATAACCCACGCCATCGATCAAATTCAGCCTGATTTATGCACCAAAGTCATGGAAAATTGGAAGCTTCAAATGCGATCCACCCAGAGAAGCCGTGGCGGACATGAAGTGGAAACTTCACATGGCACACAATTTTATCAATTCCATGTTCTTCTAATATGCAAATTTCTATATCATAACCCTCAAAGAAGCAAATAACAATTGAAAAAAGCTCTGGCAGCTAAAAGAGCAAAGAAAATTCTAATTTCACCTGAGCAAATCTTCGAAAAAACTAGGCTTTTTCCTAAGAATATTCCGACGAGAATTTAATGCATTCTGAATCATTCGAAATGGTAATAATAAGGCGGGGACTGCGGAGAGGATGTGCAGCTCCTAGATGGAAGCATCCTACACCATCTGTATACCGGAGAGACGTATATCTACTTACCTCGAGGTGAAACACGAGGTAACAACAGTGAAGAACTCTCTTCGCGGCAATATGAGCATAAGGTCCGACAGATTCCGTCATCGGAAATGTCGGGAAAAAACAAAGTTTCTGCAACGAATATGCTTGCCGTTTCACTCTTACTCTACTCGTTTGGGATAGTGGAATGAACCCGACGAAAACAATTCGTCGTAGACTCTAAAATTGACGCATCTTCATAGGAGTTCGCATCTCAAATCGTCTGTTCCACGGTTATAATTCCTCCGAGGCCGTGGACTTTTGAGTTTGGAGTGTCTACATGAAAGATGAAACTGGATTGAGCCTGTAAAGTCGCCAGAAGTTCGGGTCCCCTTCTCTGCATTGTCTAAGACCATGACAGTGCAGGAATTGAAGCATTTCTCTTTAGGACAGCTTTCCCAGCAGCTCATGATCTCGGACTAGTTTTCGATACCGAACGCGGTGATCACTAGTCTATCACCGAGTTGGAACCCGCTCAGTGAAAGGCCCGTATGAAATCCACAGAGGTCACTTCACTCTTGAGGCAACACAAGGTAAAGCATGGAATCTCCTTCAACTTCCGCCTTCTCTAGAGGGCTGAAGTCGGAGGAGTTTTTCATGGTCTGACAGGATGGTGACTTCAGCACCTTAGTCATCCTTAGTAGCGTTATGGGTATATCGGTTCCTGCAGCATCGACCATCAGAGCAAAAAGATATCTATCGTGGAGTTTTCAGCTCCTGGCTACTATCGTCTCGAAATAGAAGAAAAAGCGGATGGTATATGAAGCTCCGCATACTCTATCCAGACCACTCTGTTGATATGGTTGTTCTGATTATTGGAGTCCTTGGTGGAATGATGCCCTTTCTACTCTCGAATCTCAATATCATGCTTGCCACACTGAAGCAAAAATCTTATACTGCGACAGGACGTCAAAGGACGAGAACATGCTGAAACGGGAACATGGCGGGGAGTTTCGTTTCCCTTTCTATAGTTTCTTATGGCGGGGCGCGCAATAAGGCAGGCAAGGAATAGGTCGCCCCCCCCCATAAAATACAGGCATTCTTGACTCACTGTATCACATGATTCTTGGACCCAATAGTACCTACCCAAAAATAGTCAATTTCGCCACAATCCAACATACTATCTAACCCTTTCTGGTTGTGACACCCCCAAGCGTAGACTCGAATAGTAACTATACGAAGCTCGTTTGTGAGTTTTACTGAAAAATTTGCAATTTTGGTACAATGAATAGATAGAACGACCGTTGCTGAATTTCATGAACCTCCATCAACACAATTTGTGGATTTCGTTTGAATTCCATTTTGAAAAGGACTTTATTTGTATTTATTTGAACAAGCTAGCCATTCAGTCGTTCTTTCAGCTACAGAGGAGAGCAATCGACAGTTATACAATCGTTTTCAGTTATTATATCGTGAAGCGTAAATTCTACTCGACCCAGTCAACCAAGAAATTCAATCGAAGGGATTTTTTTCGCATCACGACATGAACCTTTGAACATATATCCAAACGTATATTTTGTCACGTATTCAATTCCAACAACTTGTTCCAATCTGGCAGCATGCGTGTTTAACGTTATTAGTTCTACGGCCATTTTTAGAACGTCGAAAGTATACCGTTATTAGGAGCCCAACAAGTTGATGAAACTATCGAATTTCAGATTTTTTCTGAAATCAAACTAATCATTTTTCAATACATTGCTATGATCTGTCTGAAAATGTAGGTCGAATCTAATTCTGTGCATTTCCATAATATTTTGGTAATTAGGGTTAGGTTAGGTCCAAAGTGAGTGGGTTTATTCGACCTCCACCGCAACCCGCAAAGGTTTATTGTGGCTCACACATATTCACACTCGACCAAATAAACCCAGCCTCTCAACGAAGCCGATTAGTTTGTATGATGAGTGGTTTTTCAGGTCAGATTATGAGTGTACGGCTCTGCCGAATTCTAAACACCTGATTCGGTCCCCAACGGGGCAGGCACAAAGTATGTGCTCTGCTGTTTCATCATTTTCCAAGCAGAAACGACACACACTGTCTTCCTACAGTCCGAGTCTCTACATATGATGATTCAAATGACAGTGACCTGTAAGAAGGCCTGTTAGATATCGTTTAGTATCAAGTTTCGAAGGGTGAATGAACGCCTGGAGTAAGCCAATCCTGGAAGATTCTGTCAGAAGTCCATAAATCTTCTTGCCATACAGGTGTGTTCTATCTTTGTGCCATCTTTAGGCAAAGCCTAAAGCGATGCTAATAATAGGTTCTGGTTCGATGAAGCTGCTTGCAGCACCCTTCTTTGCAGCCTCGTTGCCTCCCAGGCCAGTATGGCCAGGAATCCAGACCAGAGACAATCTGTTGAGTCTTCCTATCGAGGAGAGTCGATGTCAGATGTTGCTCGGTAGGAGCCAAGAGCTTCCAACGCCGCTTGACTGTCCGAGAATATTTTTATTGACTTGTGAATGAGGTTGGATTCTTCACATCTCTCCGCACACAATTCAATAGCGTAAATTTCTGCTTGAAATACAGCCGCATAGGTTCCTAGGCAGGTTGATATCTCTGACCTGGATCTGCGACTGAAAACACCTGCACCAAAACCGGAAGGTGTTTTTGATCCATCTGTGAACCAACAACTATCTGCTCTTAATATTTTCTTCTCCCGGAGTATCCTCCTCCTCTCTAATCGGGAACAGTACCTTATAAGGCAGTTCGTAGTTGACAGTTGGAGGTATAAAGTCAGAGGTCATTTCCAGAATGTTGTGACTTCCGGTGTCAATCAATAATCTGTTGCGCTCTGCATTAAATTGATTTGTGCAATTGGCAATGTGCGCATGTCTATATGCAGTCCATCTAGCGTCTCTTTCCAGAAAAATGTGGAAAGAAGGTAGATCTAGAAGTATTTTCATGGCCGCTGACGGCGTGGTACTGATGACACCACTGATGGTCAGACAAGCCTGTCTCTGTAAACCAGAGAGCTTCGCCAGGGCCGTTTTCTGTAAAGCCGTCGGCCACCAGGCAATCGCACCATAAGTGATCATTGGTCTGACAATCATCACATGAATCCAATGGATTTGTTTGGGACCTAACCCCCAAGTTTTACCACAAATCCTTTAACATGTCTATAGGGACAGTCTGGTTTTGTGTAAAACTTTTTCCAAGTGAGCGTTCCAGGTGAGTTTTCTATCAAGGGCAATGCTAGTGCTTGTCGTCTAGGATACAATGGCAAACATTTCAAATCGATAGCATTCACCGTTATCAAGATAATGGAAGAAAGAAACGATATGGATACACATTTTATCAGAGACATAGCTAGCAGCAAAGGAGTATTCTTCAAATAAAGTCGATAATTTAATTACGAAACGTACATTTATAACATTTATATACATTTATATTTTAACGTACATTTATTTTCCTAAAACTGCAAAATGTATTGTCCTCCGTATGGACCTAACCGATGAATGATGATGATATATGAAATGAGCTGTGAGGACTGTGACAAAAATGTATCGGCCAGACTGAGCGAGCCAGTAAGCTTGTTTCAAAGAACACACAGCACCTATCCAACTCCGAAGACTAGAAAAATCTAAGGTAGGTCAACACGCTACGGAGAATGACCGTAGAATAGATGAGAACTATATGTGGTCCCAAGCTGAGATTATCCACAAGGAGAAAAACTGGTTTAAGGGGAAGTTCGAAGAAGCTGCATAAATGTTGTCCAACGGCGCATTCAGCTAAGCTAGCGTAGAGCGTATCATGAGGAAAATAGCAAGCGGGTAAACGGTCTGTTCCCGTTAAAGCGGTAAAGCATAGAGGGAAGAGGGGATAGGTGGAAGCGCTCGAATGACGTGAAAATTGTCATCTAACAATCGAACGTCATGAAGCAACTTGATTTCGAATCATATTAGAGTCATATTAGACAGTGGAAGTCTGAATTAGTCAAATTCACCAAGAAACATTGGTAACTACTTTCAAACAAAAGGAGTAGATGTTAAAATTCTGGGAGTACTATAGAGAAGATTTCAAGGTCTAATAGATAACATATTCCTCGGCTGTCAATGCTTCTGGAACTGTTGTTTTTATGTTCCCCTCATTTTTCAATATCTAAAGAAAGAAAAATTATTGGGTTTACCTATAACATCTCTGCTTCGAAACATTTTCGTTGATGTTGTAACTATTCGTCGTTTCATTATTTTGTGTTGCTTTAAATTTGTATTCATTATTTATTTTTTGTGTCTAATTTATTGATGGAATATTGCATCTGCCAATAACTTCGGAAATAACAAATACTCAAATGGTGAAATGCATTCTAGTATGGCCTTCTCACTCACCTGAATTCGGTTCGTTGTCACTGTTCGGTCTGGCAGACGGCGCTCCGTCCCTGGCCTCGATTTCCAACGCGTACGCTCCCTGCTTTTCTCTATCGAACACCACTTTCGTGAAAACTTCGCCGGTCTCTTTGTTAATTTCAAAGAAGTCCTTTCCCTCGTTACGAGGAGAATCGACGATGAAGTAGTAAACCTGAAAAATTCAATGACGATAATGAGGGTCGAGGAAAGATAGTTTGGAGAACTATTGGACTTTTCTGTTGAAAGTGCAGAAATAGATTACCTTCGGACTAATTTACTTTCTCCGTTTGTGGGTTCAAGTGTGGAGTAGACGGAGTAAATGAAAGAGCTTTCAGAACCTACTTTTTTTCCGAACAGATAAGTGCGCCTCAGTTTGCCATTTCATTTAATTAATGGTCAACGTTGATATTGTCCATTTCTCACATTGTGGTGGTAAATCCAAAAAAATTCAAAGACAAAAATGTCTTTCAAAGAACATTCACAAATATGAACTTATTCAATGTCAAAGAATACAACGTGTATCCAGTTATGCAAAATTATTTCTAGGCCCGGGCATGTTATTCATTAGCCTGGATATGGAAAAACCCAGCACACTGAGTCCATTGAACATTTTCAATTATTCAATCACTGTTGTCGTTATTGATAATCAAATGAGAGTTGATACGTTTAGTAAACGATAGAAACCAACTATTTAAAATATTTGTAATTGAATTCACTCAGGGTGAAGTGAGGGCCCACTTCAGTCACGCCGGTATTCAGACCGGAGTGTTTCGGATAACAACATAAACCCAGAAGTGTTCCCAGTAGAAGGCGACTGAAAAAACTAAGTATTGTTTATGAAAAAATATACGAAAAAACTCAGGTACTTCAAGCAAGACCAATGCGCTCCCCGAGGAAGCTGTTGTCAATTACTTATAGGAGGAGCCTGGCCAAATGCGCCCAAGTGGAAAGCAACGGTCATTAAAAATGAGGGAGAGAAAGGGAGGAAATGATTTTTTTTAAATCAAAATTGCATAGTTTACAGATACAACCTTTGTCCATTGTTTATTATGAATCTCCGATGATTTTCGGAAAAATATGTTTTTTTTAATTCAGCTGAGTAGGGAGGGTGAGTGTAGGCCCACAGCATTTAGGCCACATGTGACCCGTTGTACATCCTCCCGAGGAGTTGTCCTCCTAGGTCATCGTCCATCCTGTCCTTTCCAGGAAGGTGGATAGGTCACTAGGAGACATATCCCTTATATCGGCAGGTGTAGGCCAAGGCTCGCCGAACACACACTCTCTTATTGACGTTAACTCCAGAAACTCGCATAGGACATGCCTGACACTTTCATCTTCCTATTCACACATCGCCAGATATTCCTTCGGCGCCAGCATCCCAGGCTCGCCCAGAGTGATCCTGGCAAAACTGCATCCTTTGATTCCAACCCATCTCTTTAGGTATTGAGCATGGGTGTGGCGTTTGGCTATTTCCGCAATTGTCGAATTCATCAGGACGTAAGTATCGTTGGGTCCTAAAATTCCTAGTCCAGCTTTACTTCTAAAATTCTTAGTACAGCCGCTTCCTTGGCTAAAGGATCGGCAATGCAATTACCTTTACTCCTGCCGTGCCTTTCAACCCACCTCAGGATAATCTATCGAGGCTTTGGCTAAATCTTGGTGGCACTCTAGTACTAGCCCTGAGGTAACACGTTGTCTGTTCAAGACTAATAGGGCTTATCTACTATCAGTGTAGATTGTTAGGTTTTTGCCAGAAATTCCTTTCCTGGTTATTTCTTTTGTGGCAATTGAGATACCAACCATTTCTGAAATTTAGATAGAACCTGATTCTTTTGAAAAATCCCAAATTCCATTCGTCCAAATCAAAAGTGGGCTCAAATAAATACATTTTTGAATGCAAAGTCAGAGTTGAAGTATGGAAAAATCATATCGAAAAACTGAAAAACTTACAAAAGGAAATAGATAAAGAAATTGAGTGAATGATACGGAGTGAAGTTTATTCACTGTCAAAAATTCAATTTTTGATTATGTGGACCAGTGTATAAGTGTCGGTACTTTCAGCAGTAGCGATTTACGCAATATACACCTACCATTCATCAACTTACCTCAACCCGAATTGTCAAATTGTACTCTTTGATGGTTTCGTAGTCCAGTGGATGATTGACCTTTATGTCAGCCCACGTGAAACCGTTGTCAGGCCTTTGTTGCAAGTAGAACGTGTGGAACTTGTTTGTCTGCGCTGTAGAACCAGGCATCAGTCGGTAGAACACAGTTGGGTTGTTTTCGATGCCGGAGCTAGGCAGAAAAAATTGAGGAAACTCTCTGGTTGATTTTCAGAAACGATAATGTCCTTACCAAAAAACCTATTACGTGTATGGCGATCAAAAAGCAAAAACGTATTGAATACATGGCTTACAAAAATATATATCAGCCACATGCAAAATTCGCGCAGAGGGTCATGACATTTGATTCATAAACTACCACAAAAAAAAATGGAAAATAGTTGTTTGCAAAACATATCATGGGGGTCTGAGCACCACTATCCTGTCGTAATAAGACAAATCCTTCAATAATAATATTATTCTGGAGTGTTCTAGTACTCTGTAAATGCAAGAAGTTAACCTCAAAAAGTTGTCAGACAGGTTCATTGACAAATGAACAATCATATGAGGTTGACCCAAGTTGGTTCGAATTCATTTGAAGAATTTTTTTTTTTGTTAAATCTTCTTCGCACTATTACGAAATTTATGACTGCTATCAGTTTGATTTCAATGAATAAACATTTCATTATATCTGAAATATTTAGACGGTGATTCAACGCCTCAAATTCATATTTGAACAAGTTGGCCGATATTCTTTGAAAGGCATTTTCTGTGGGGGTCTCAATATCAACTACTGTTTTTAGGATATACAACCTTTCACAATCTTTCTCTAGTTATCGACGTTTCGGAAAATAATATTTTTCCGTTTTCAAAACCCGAAATCCACTCTAAAACTTCTGCCCCAAATTGTGATAGCTCTAACTCTTTTGACATACGTCTTATGAAACACGTCTTTGACGTAAGTCAAAAGGATTAGAGCTATCATAATTCGAGAGAATAAATTGTATGAATACCCCAACTTCAGAACCCTCAATGATCAACTACAACTAAGCAGCTCTCCCCTTTTCAATTCGCAAATTTTGACAACTAGTTTAGAATCCATTAGTAATTGGAGCAATTCACATGTAGTGTTTTTATATAAATAGTTGGTAATTTTAATATGTTATAAGCTTTGAATTGTTTTGGTATATCAGGTATTGGCAATTTCGGTAAAATTTTTGTTAATTTAAGTACCTATTGCAGGAACCTAAAGGACATTTACCATATCATTGTATATTTTAGGATATGTTTATCAAAATGGGCTAGTTTACTTGAAAATTGTTCAATAAACCAAAACCTATCATAACCTATCATAAAAATCTGATTAGAAATTAGACAAGTTACTTTCTTCATTCAATATTGGATATGAATTTATACAAACTGAATTGGTCATCAAAAGAACCTATTTTATCATAATTTTATCATTAAGATTAATTATTATCTCGAAACCGACTAAAAAAATTCACCATGTCATGACCCAACAAAAATATAGGTATGGTACATGCAACCACCAAAAATCTATTCTATTTCAGATACGAGGCAATCAAATTCAAAAAAATCGCCCAGACAATCTAGAGACGATCATGCAAAAATGTTTTGAATGCCAACGTATCTTTTGTTTTCATTGTACGGGTTTCGCCAAATCGAACTTGTGTGTAAGTGTGTGTACTTGCCAAATAACGATCTTGCTGTATGGCAACATCCAAAGCAACCACTGCCATCTACAGAAGAGAGGAAGGACCCGTATGAACTACACGATCAATACCCCCTCCACAACGTCAGGGGCATTGATCTAGATAGTAAAGCCCAGAACCAATCGAATGTGTTGCAGTAGTTGCTCAACAGATGGTATCAAAGTTATCACTGATGGAATAAAAACTAATTTCTAAAAAAATGATAGGTGACATGGGTAGGTGAGGGTAGCTGAATGCTGTTAAAGGTGTTGCTTCATCCCTTAGCCCCAAGCTCAGTGTAGTTAATGCGTGTGGTGCAGGCTTCAACAACATTCAGCAAGTTGAGGAATTGATATAAGGGAAAAATGAAGGGACTACACACCCAGAAAGAGCTACATTAATTGATAGAAAACTTATGATGATGACGGTATTGAACTCTTGTGGTAGATTCCTCCAAAATACATTGCCTGTTGAATAAAAAATCAATTTCAACAATAATTTACTATTTTCTGATGGCCAAACTGTTCCAAGTGAGTCTCAATTAATTGAATAACAATATAATTCCATAGAGGCTTTCTTCAGTGAGTTTTGAATACGATATTCTGAAACAAACTTGAGTAAAGAGTATATTTTCAGAGTTGGAAAATAAAACAGGTTTTGCTCCAATTTCCAGGAACATTCAAACATAGAAATATAAAAAACAGAAGCAGCCAAATTACTCTCATGTAAATCAGTGTGCCTTCTGGAAAAGTATCTAGCAGTTGTCTATATTGATTTTTCCAGATGTTCCCAGATGCGATGAATATAATTCACTCTATGCTCGAAGAGGTTCAAATTATTCAACTCTTAACTGATCATGTATGTATACGTGATTGTGTGAGAGACATTCAGTCTTCAATGATATTATTTGTCCTGTTATCTAGAAAGATCACTTGCTCTTTTCTAGAAAGATTTAAGGTTTATCCCACTCTCAATGTCTGGTATCGTTGATAATACTTTTCGTCATCTTTTTGAAGCCATCTAGGAGAATGAAGGGCGTCCAATATATCCATGACTGTTGACTTGGCGAATTCATCTTCCGCCGATTCACACATGATATCCCATGAATTTTATCACGTGATTCTAGGCGCATATCAATCTCTATTACCTGCCTAACTCGTCGGTCGGTTGGGAATATGTTCTTTTGGGAAATAATGACACTCAGCCCGAGCACATAAGGCCCTGTTGGATTTGGAAGATATCAATGTAGAGAAGAGCTTGTCATATAGCACTTGAATCCGCCGTAAAAGTGATATAGGAATCTATAAAGCTCCATGAATGCAAATTCATGTTTATGGAAATCTCAGCAATCAAACTATTCCAGGAATAATCCTGCAGTACTGAAATCTTTTCATGGATTGAAGCCTTTACATGCCTCACTCCACCATTCACGTCATGAATAATAAAGTTTGATATACATTTCTGAGTCTCTGAAAGCTCTAAACGCATGAGAAAGCTATTGTATAGCGAAACAAGTGTCGCGGTTCTTTGTAAAACCCTTCATAGTAAAAATCAAACATTAACTGGAATAATGAGTTTTTCAGATCGCTACTCATTTGAAAGCATCAAATTGTATATTTGTTCGATTTCTAGATATATTTTTTTATATTTCTAAGGCCTTTGACCCTGTGTGGGTTTGCTGGCCAAACTTCGATGCTATGGCTTGTTTGTATGATTCGCTAGCTTCCTGAAGGAATGTTCCCTGCAAGTGGCCGTCGATAGATATGTCTCTAATACTGGTGTTCCCCAGGGATCTGTAATGTCTCCAACCATCTTTTCATTATATATCAACGTCGTATTGGAAAAAACCAAGAGTCCAATACATTGCTTTGCTGACGACAGCACCCTAATCCTAATCTCGGCTGTGGATGCACATCTTTAGTGGCAACAGGAGGCTGTATATCTTAATGAGGATCTAGAGGTGATTTCGAATTATGGTTCAATTCAATGCCACAAAAACCCAGGCATCGGTTTTCTCCAAAAAGATGAATGTTTCCGAACCGGATATAATAATTCAAGGTCTGACAATACCACTTTCTGCTTCGATAAGTTTGTTGGGGGTTAAAATGAACACCAATATGTCTGGGCACAACCATGTCTTCGAAATCGTACAGGCTGCTTCTCAAAACACTGATCCAAACCAAAAAACTGTACACATTTCAGCAACTTTTTATGGTTTATAAAGCCCAGATCGGATCTTCTTTGCAGTATTAGTCTCATGTAAGGAGCTCTGCCCCAAAGCGTACCCTGAAGCTGCTGGATTCCATACAGAAAAGAGCCATCCGCCTGATTGAAGACACGAACATCAATTGCAACCTTGATAGTCTGGAACATCGAAGAAAGGTTGGAGATTTGTCTCTCTTTCATAGATTCTTTCACAGGAGGTGTTCAAGTGGCTTGGCACATTTGATTCCACCAAGAGCGGTACATATCAGAAATACGCGACACACTGTGGCTGCTCATCGTTTTGAGGTTCAACGAGGTACACCTCTGTGAGAGGTGTACCTGTCTAAGAACTCTTTCATTTGGAGAACTGCGATTATGTGGAATAAACCTCCTGAGAGTGTTATTTTCGCAAAGGCACCGGTCTTAGAGCGCATCAAGGATTTTCTGTAGTGCTTGTGTTTTATCCCGGAGAAAAAAAAGGAGACGAAACGTATGGCAGTTCAGGTTCCGATCGATCACAACTTACCAGCGGGGCTTTTGTTCTCTACGATTGTTGACACGTTTTCCAAAAAAAATTGAAATGAATTCGAATGTATTTTGGAGGAATTGTTTTGCTCCGCGACTGAAATGACAAGAGGGCACGTGCTGGCCCATTAATTTGGGTAAAGCGTGCACAAACAGACGAGACGGGCACCGTATAGCTTTCGTGCTGCTAAACGGTCACCGCGCCACATTGATATCAATTATTACTGAGAGACGCAGTACATAAACGGTACTTCGAAGCACCGACCTGGCCTTCACTGACACCACCTTGGCCCCAACCGGGAAGTTTTCCCGGATGAAGATGGGGCCGTAAACTGTGTGGTCCCAGACCGGAGGGTTGTTAGCGCGGTCCACAACATCTATCTGGACTTCCACAGAACGGGAGAGAGGAGGATAGCCTTTGTCTTGGGCGGTTGCCTCTAGCTTGTAGGTCTCTCGCTGGATCGACGCGAAAAATTATACACCAACATTACGATTTCCGTGGAAAAAAAGAAAATGATTCGACAAGCATTCAACATTACGGAAAATGAATCGAGTGCGTAAACCGCTCGATAAAATGTTGAATGAATGTAGGATCGAAGGTAAAGGGCATGGGCGAAATATGAAGTGCAATGAAATCCTCATATTACGTACACACCCCGAACATAGAAAATGGAGAAATGGATAATGGTCTGGTAGTATGGACTTCCTAAGGCTGACCGCCGTCCCGAGCTGAGCCCCATCGCGAAGCCCCCCACCCTCGAGCCACGGGACCGCGGTCCTTGCCTGTATACGCCTCCTTCTCGATACCAACCTGGCCTTCACAGAAGTCACTACAGTACCCACTGTGACATTTTCTTTGATGTGAATGGGGCCGTACGAGGCGTCATCCCATAATGGCGGCTTATTGTTTCTGTCAACGACGTCTAATTCTATGTCCACGTCCGCGTAGGATGGCGGGAATCCCCTATCGGATGCGCGTACACGCAGGCGGTACCTGTCTCGCTACATATAAAACACGAGCACGGTCAGGTCAGGTACATGGGACAAACCAAACAGAACACACTCAGTCAACGAAATAGCGAACCAAAATAAATATATAACTATAACTCAATCACACAACTGAACAAATCAAGAGAAAATAATATTCGGAGAGTCGCCGAAAATAATGACTTTTCTTTCAATTGGTGCCGTTATTTTTCTTGATCGGAGCACCATCACACTGGGACTGTGTTTTGGATTACGAAATAACGGTTCACTCTCGTTGAATAATCCGCAAAAATATGCTTCAAGTTCAACGTTCGTGATAAAAACTACCGCGACATATGAAAGGTTTTTCTTCAATATGAAAACACCCATTTCTGTGAGGATGCTTGCTTTATCATCAGTTCACAAGCAAAATGGTTGCAAGAGTTCATCGATACATTCCAACCTTTCAATAGAGAAAAAATCGAGTTGAAAGTCCATCAAAACACAATCAAACATAACCATATAATCATTTAATCCAAAAAGATAACTTTTATTTATCAGTCACCGTTCTCTCCTTCATATCTGCCAGATTTGTCATGTCAAGTTCGTCACTGCTTGAATCGCAGAAACGTTTTGTGGTTATGTTTGGTTATGTATAGAGCTTCTCAAGAATCTCCTCAGATAAACAAAGTAAACTCATCAAACAAACAGAAGATTAACGTCGAACCCTTGCAGCCTGTTTACTTTAATCCCTCTAGGATTCGGAGCTCCAGTTTACAAGCAAAAGGTGGATTACATTTATATGATTACACTAATTCATACAGCCTTGTTTCCATCGTCCATGTTACCTGAAACTTTCAAAGTTATATTCAATAAGTCACCCATCTACGTCGTTACACCAAACACAAATAAATACATTTTTTTGGTTATGTCACATGGAAAAAGTTAGGGACATATAAGATGGGGACTTCGAACTTTTAGATATCAGTCTGTGAAGCTTTTTCTGAGCATTTGTTGTCCAAGTTATCCTAGTTATAACCATATTTGCCTAACAGTTGATTGAAAAATTACAAAATCAAGCATAACTCGAAGCGAAATGGAATTAAAGTTGCAGTTATTTACATAAGAATATTGAATTTTGTGTGAAACAAAAACCAAGACTTTCTTTAAAATCTATAACTTATTGCCAACCTCGGAAACATCAACTTTGGTGTTATTAGTGAATTTTATATTTACAGTTGCCAAAACACAGTCCACAGTGGCTGTCGAATATGAATTTGTCTGAAGATCATTAGCTTCATACTGTCAAAAACTACAGCCAAACGCGTATTTCATCAAGAACTGTGCTGTATTGTCACCAATTTACTTACTGAATAACATCCCTGTTTCCATGGTCGGAGGTTATAGTGAAACAACAAAAAGAAGTGCAATTAAATGAAAAAAAATAAATCAATTGAAGGTGCACTCGTCAGTAAGCCACCTAAAGAACGTGAAGTAATTTGAAAAATAAAAGTCAGGAGAATCGTTTTATGATTTCTGAAAGTAGATGATTTTAATTTGTGACAAATACGACAGTTTACAAACACGACAGTTGACATTTGACAAATTAGACAGTTGGCAAATACGACAATTGACATTTGACAAATACGACAGTTGACAAATACGACAATAGTCTTCATCTGTCATTTATGTCTTGTGAACATTTTACACATTAAATTATAATCATCTACTCTCTACCAATATCAAAAAGACTATAATTTTCAACGCCTGAAGCTTTTGAATCTATACCCGACTGATTGGTCTGTGAAAACCCAGTTGTTTTTGACTTTAAGAGATAAAAGTGGAAGTACGGCCACTGACGAGTTGCATAAATAACCATATCTGAAAAAAAACTTTGAAGCAGGCACGACATGCAAAAAAAACGTTTAAAAACTCGTGAGGGCGGGTCGGGAGCAAGGATGTGCAAAAAGTCTTATATTTTTCTTGGAAAACGACCTTCAAAAAACCGATGGACGTTTATTTTCATAGAAGAGTTAGTACGCCGCCCCATACACAGGTTAAAAATGTCACAATGTCCGGAAGTGTCGCAAGAGAAAACGTTGCCCCCCCGGGTTTCAAAAATCGTCCCCCTGCGACACCTCTGACCAAAATCTTTAAAGGGTTGATTAGTATGATGCACCTGTAAAAAATCACTCAAAAATCACATCACAGGCTCAAAAAATCATGTCAACAAAAATCTCGTGTCTCCATTGTCGGCGAACAAAAATCCGTCCGGCGGCGGCGGCCAAAAATGTCGCTGAAGTAGCACCTGGCTTCAAAAAAAAACAAAACAGCGCTCCTTGCTACTCCAAAATATGAAGGTAACTGAGTATGTGCTAGACCTGTCAGCAGTATAAGACAGGGGAAATGTTATACGTTCTGAAAACTTCTTGAGTCACATATACATAGTCGAGTCTTATAATGCTTTCAGTCCTGTGTAATATAAAACAAAGTCTAAATCAAAGTACGATAAACTTCTAGTAAAGATGTTTATGCAAGGTGTGCCGTATAAACGAACTCATTGAATGAAAGTTTACAGATTAGTGCAGCCGATCAAATCAGATCGGCCAGAGCAACTCAAAGTAAGGTGCGCTGAAAATGATGAACAAAGAAGCAGCTATGTCCAGTCGTACCTAGTCTTCGGCCCACTAGGATCCGGATTAGATCTGCCCAGGTCGCTGAAACGTCAATACTCATACTCTCGCCCATTCACACCATATTATCCTACCGCGATTCGCGAAGAGTCATCATACTTACGTCCAGAGGTTTCTTCAAAACTATCCAACCTGATTCTGGTTGTATTTCGAAATACTCCAGATCCGCCGCGTTGGATCCCGCGTTGAGGGTGTAGATTATGGCGCCGTTATTATCGGCGTCCTCATCTGAAGCCGATACTCGCAGGATGTTCGTTCCTATACTTGCGTCTTGTTTGACGTTCTCAACGTATTTCTTGGAAAAACAGATCAGACATGAAGAAGGTGAATCGATTTTCCTACTTTGGACATACCTGTCTATCGAAAAGCGGAGGGTTGTCGTTGACGTCCGTAATTTCAACAGTGAACGAACAAACACCTTCCAAAGATGGCTCGCCTTGGTCAGTCGCCTTCACAGTAACAGACACAAACTTCCCATCGTCCCCTTCCCTGTCGAATACTTTGTTGGTCGAAACTTCGCCGGTTTCCTCGTCCACAGTGAACTTGGTTCCCTTTTGGTTGGGTTGCTGCACGATGGAATATTTAACCTGGCCGTTGACTCCCTTATCTTCATCAGTGGCATGGACTTTTATAACGGGCGAACCGTTCGGAGCTCCTTCTTCAACCTTCGGGTAGTAGGTACCGCAATCCTTGAAAATAGGTTTATTGTCGTTTACGTCCGTTATGAACACCACAACCACTGCGGTACTCGTGTGAATGGTAGAGTCGCCGTTGGCGCAACACGCTCCGTCGTCCATAGCCGTAACGTTCAGTTCGTATTTGTCCCGATCCAAAGAAATTGCTTTGTTGTGGAGACGAATTACACCCGTGATTTCTTCGATGACGAATTGGCCGGAGCTGGTACCACCCCCCACGAAACCAAACCGTACATTATCGCCATCTTTGTCAGAGGCTACCACCGTCGTTACCAAAGTGTTGGGTCCGGCATTCTCATCAACGTTCGGGGTGTATACTTGCTGGGAGAATTTTGGCTCCTCATCGTTTTTGTTTTTTGTGTATACGCGAACAGTTGCCGTACCCGTTTTAGCCGGTTCGCCTTTGTCTTTTGCAGTTACCACAAATTCGTAATAAGCGTTGTTGTTGTCTGCATCCAGCTGTTTGTTATTCGAAATGATACCGGTTGGATCCACGCTGAAATGATCATCTGAAACTGAATACTCGATTTCCGCGTTTGTGCCGCTATCTGCGTCCATAGCTTTGACCTTGAGAATGCTGGTGCCAGGTGGGATATCCTCATCAACGTTGTGGGCTTGGTAGTCAGGTAACTCGAATTTGGGAGCGTTATCATTCACGTCTGTTACTCTTATTGTTAACTGAAAACAAACAATGTCGAACACTTATTTCACAGTAAACTTTTTCATTTTTTTCATACCTCCACGGATGTAGAGAATCCCCCAGAATCTTCAGTGGCAGTTACAACCAAGGAGTAAACATGGGGCTGTCGTAGATCTTCAAAGTCCAGTTCTTTAGCTAGTTTTACGATTCCTGAAGTGGGGCCAATATTGAAAGTTCCAGCGCCTTGTCCTTGTGCTTTGAGGGTATATCGAATTTCTCGGTCAGCAAAAGACTTTGCCTTTACCGAAATGATGCTAAAAAATACATAATTTTAAATTCATGAACTTTTTTGGGTTGTTTAATATCCAAAGGTGATATAATTTTTGAAACAACTTTTTTCTTTCTATCTTAAATTTGTTATTGAATTATTAGGTATGGAAATATTCAATGTCAAATTCAAATTGACAAAATTAACCTCACTTTGGTTGAACGAAACATTTAAGTGGATATTTTCCGTTTATCACCCAGAGGTTTTTTATATACCAATCAGATTTTGAGTAGCAATAGCCGCGGGTTTTTGCAGAACTGTATGCTTTTTGAGCTTTTGACCTTTATTTCCCAAACAACAATCTCTTTCAAAAATATACACCTCTCAATTTGAATATATAAAATGGTAATTATACAAGGCGACCACCATATTGTTAGACATCGATAACCACACAAAAAACTATAGAAACTTAAAATACATAATTCTAAAGATAAAACCAGCTCAATTAGATATTGTTTTATCGGTTCAATGCATCAACTTCAAGAAATTTTCAGTCGATAGGAGAGCACCATCTATTCAATCTATAAGAATGTTGAAACTACGGATAAACTACCAACGTATCAATCAATTCGAGAATTGACGCTAATTGGGCCTTTATCTACTAGACCTACATCTTAGTATTGGTCAAAATGAAAATTGAAAATTATAATTTTGTGTGTACTGTGCCAAATGTCATCCGTCATGATTATTGCTATCCAAGAAGGTGTCACAGTCCAATTGACTCATTGTATAAAAATAGAATAGACAAAATTAAATACAAGAACAACACAAAACTCAAAATTATTCATTTTCTCCAAAAATGTGGTTCGCAAATATAAAATTGGTTCTACGACAATGTTCCTTTATTCTTTTGGAAAAAATCCTCCTCGTTTGGCCAATATAAGTTTTTCGGCAAGAACCACAAGTCATCTTATATACTCCTGATTTATCCGACACTGAAGTTTTGTTTTTATTGTTTTCGATAGTTTTTCTAATTATTATTCTTTTCGTAAGTTACGTCCAACTCTTTCTTTTTCAAAAAACGAGAAATGTTATGGGAGGGTACACCAAAGTATGTCAGTGTCCCAGGACGTTCATTATCGTTTTTTGAACCATCGTTGACATACATTTGCTTGATAAAACTCGGTTGTCCCTGAAAATTACTTTCTGGTGATGGAAATTCAATAGCCTGTGAAGCTTACTATTGAATGCTGCTGGGTGCTGACATGGGTGTGTTGACGAACTATGTATGACAATTTCCGTATAAGATGGTTTGTGGAAAATGGCAACATTAAGTTGATCATTAACTTCAGTAATAGTAAAATTCTAGAAAATTTATTGAATTTTTCACCCCCATTTGAGTGGTGACTTCGATTGATGGGTTAATGGAATTGACAAATTTGACAAACTTGTTCAGCTGCCTACCAGTACCAGTAAAACAGACTAAGATAGCATCAACCTATCTCTAGCAGATGAGATGGTTTGTGGAAAATGGCAACATCAAGTTGATCATTAATTTCAGTAATAGTTAAAGTCTAGAAAATTTATTGAATTAATCACCCCAATTGAGTGGTGATTTCGATTGATGGATTAATGGAATTGACAAATTCGACAAACTTGCTCATCTGCCTACCTGTATCAGTAAAACAGACTAAGATATCATCAACGTATTTCTAGCAGAATATAAAACATAAAAGGACTCATGTGACATGACGCTTGAAAAGGTTATTGTATAGGGAGGTAAGTGTTGAAGATGAAGCCCAAGATGAAGAGACAGCTGTGTTTTCACCAGGAACAGCCTCGCCTGGGGGGAGGAGGAACAAAGGTAACAAATGCCCAGGGGCTTGAGCCTCGCAGGGGTCTAACTCGGGCCAAAAAAACTTGAAATTGCGGTTTGGGAAGGCAGCAGTCAGTTCAAACAAATTTCAAACAGATTCAAAGTGAGAAAAGACACTAAAGAAAAAGTTATATATTAAGGCAAACACTTATATTTGACTGTAATGCACTGTTGGGAACCTTTGGTATAGTAATGAATTACTACAAAGTGATCCAAGAAGTAGATTAATCGTCCTTTTGAAGATGATCACTTGGTGATTGAAGCACGTTTCGAGGTGTTGAAATAACGGTTTGGTGTTGGGATAAAACTCCAGTAATACTCATATTTGGGTTTGACGTAGGGGGTGTAATGTTGAGACCGAAAGGGACCCTGACAAGTAGACAAATATCCGGAATTCATTTCGGCGGGCCTGGCCAGGAAAGCAGAATATTGGATTTGTGGTCTTTTCGAATTGTTCGTCGATATATGTGTAAACGCTAGGAAGCACCAATGTTGGCGGTGAAACTATTATAAAGAGAGGCAACGAGCGACGAATCGCCGCCAGAAGTATACTCACTCAGAATCCTTTTTTTGATTCTCAGGTATCTCAGCTTCATAACTAGGCATATAGAACTGTGGCGCCCTCTTTCCGCCGACTATCGACAGCCTCTCCTCAGGCGTGCTTTGAAACCTCCTGTCATCCACGCGACCATTTTGATCCTCGGCCTTGACATACAGAACGTACTCCATGTCCAATTGAAAGAGGTCAGTTCCCCTCGTCCTAACCACCCCCGATCGCTCGTCCACCTCGAATCTGCCACCCGTTCGGTCTCTAACGATGAAATAATGGATGTTGTGGTCCGTATCGGGATCTCGCGCCTGCAGGGTGAAAACGGGCGTGTTGGGGGGTGCGTTCAGCTGCACGACCGCTTGCATGGGAAGAGGTCGGTTGATGAAGTAGGGTGGTTCGTCGTTCACGTCCCTCACATGGATAATGACACGCTGATTGTCTGTGTCTGCAAAAAAATNTAGTAAGATTTCTCCCATAGAAAACTATGGGAGAAAAAAAGGACAGTCTATTTTGGGAAATTCATTCCCAACTCCCAAAAACGTTGACCTGATACCAACTCAGTTGAAGACATTATGAATGGGAGAGTACTCAATATAATCTATATAAATTAAAAAAAATCTGTTTAAAATCTGTTTTTCCGTTAATCAGCTGTCGCCCCCATACGAACGACAACTCTCAGAAGTTGAGAAGCTTGTGTGAGCTGGGGACTAACGAGGTCTTACCTTTTAACGTGTGATTGCCTGTACTACTTTAATCTCATTCAAATACAACCTTACTGTTATGAATTGTTACATCCCATATATTTGTAAGGCCTTATACCGTGTGTGGTATGAGGGTTGGCTAGTCAAAGTTCGATGGTATGGTTTGTCGGATCATTTTTGTGGCTGTCGATGGATATATTTCAAATATTTTAACCATCTACGCTGGTGTTCCCCAGGGAGCCTCATTGTCTCTAATCCTCTCTTCAATGTATATCAACGACTTATTGAGAAAAACAAGAATCCAATACATAGCTTTGCTGACGACAGCACACTTGTCTCGTTATTCTATTTGGATTCCAGGGCATCGGCTGATCGGCTGTGCAGGAGGTTGCATATCCTAATGAGGATTAAGAGTTACGAATTGGGGTGAAAGTATCTAGGTTCAATTCAATGCCACGAACTCCCAGGCATTAGTTTTCTCCAAAAAGATAAATGTCTTCGAACCGGATATAATAATGTGAGGACAAACAATTCCGCTTTCTACTTCGATAAGTTTATTGGTGGTTAAATAAATCATGTCGCTGGAATTGCAGAAGCTTCTTGTCAAAACCTTGGAACACTGTTCCGAACCAAAAAAATGTACAAACCCCAGCAACTATTGATGATTTATGAAGCTCAGATCAAACCTTCTTTGGAGTATTGTTCATATGTATGGAGCTCCGCCCCCTAGGCATGCTTTGAAGCTGCTGGTTTCCATCCAGAAAAGAGTCATCCGCCTGATTGAAGACACAAACATCACTTGCAACCTTGCTAGCCTCGAACATCGAAGAGAGGTTGAAGATTTGTATCTCTTTTGAAGATACTTTCACGTGAGGTGTTCAAGTGACTTGGCACATTTGATTCCACCAAGTACGGTACATATCAGAAATACGCAACGAAGTGTGGCTGCTCATCGTTCTGAGGTTCAACTCAGTACACCTCTAGCTTCACTGTTTCAGAACTCTTTCATTTGAAGAACTTAGTTTATGTGAAATAAACCTCCTGAGAACTTTTTTCCAAATGAATTCCAATGCCAGTGGCTGTTCTTCATAATCTGTTACTTTACATAATATTATCCAAGATTATAATCAAACAATGTTTACATCATGAATAGTATTAATAATTTTCATCAATTTACGGAAAAAAACTTCCAATACTGTGGAAAAACTGTTCTTGACTTTTGCATCTCTTGCATTATAGCATGACTTTTGCATCATTACTTGTTCTTTATTTTTTTTGCCAAAAACAACGTCGTAGTCATGCCTAAGCCATCGTATTCACCAGATTTAACCCCCTACGACTTTTTCCTATTGTATTGAAGTGTATATCAGAACTGCTTCAAAGATTGGAAGAAACGCTGGCACATTGTATTATATTTGAGGGGGAATTCTTCGAAAGGGACAAAATAGAAATTGATGAATAAATGAATAATGTTTGAAAAAAATTAAAATTCACCTAATTCCTTCAATAGACCTCGTATGTCACTGCTCTGCACTCTAGACTGTCCTTTTTATAACTGATTTTATATATGACAGTTTTGATGAACCAATGAAAAAACAAATTATGATTTTCAAGTTCTCACAAGAATATTAGTAAGTGGTAAAAAAATACAGCAAGTTAATAAGAATTCAATTTGCATTCACTAAACTATCACTTAAGTAATAATGATAGAAATGATTCGATATATTTATCTTCATATAACGTTTGTGAGTATACTCAGCTATGTGAAGATTCATTAATTTCATGTCATTAAATTTCTCAACTGTATAATATCGAATCATCTCAGATACATGCATGTTAATAATGTAAAAACAGGCACTTACATTTCAATCCTGGAAGAAGCATGTAAAAAAAAGTATGATTAATAACTTCGTACATAGGTTGTTTGAAATAGACAGAAAAAAGACTTTCATCGCACAAAGTCTATGAATATTTTTCAAATCCTTATATATGAGATTCAATATTCTATGTATACTGTGCGACTCTGTACTTTAGGCTACTCAGGATTTATATCCAGAAATTTATGAGAGGTTAAAAATCGATTTCTTGGTAGTGTCTGAGACTACGAAACTGTATAGAGTGGTATAATTCGGTAAAAGTCAATTAGCACAGTAAATATGTTTTAACTATCGTTTACTATAAAGAACAAATCGGTCAAAGTTATCTAAAAGTTGTCAAAAATATTTGCCAAAATCACAAAAATCCTCACTGTAATTTTGATTTTTATACGTTTTCATAATTTACAACCACTGGATTCCTAAAACTAAACAAATTTTCGTACAAAAACTAATTTCAACTCATTTTTAGAATTTTCTGATTTGCAAGAAAATGGCGCATGAAATATGCATCGTTTTGTATTTGAATGACTCATGATAAAATTAACATTTAATACATGAAGCATTAGAAGCATTAGAATTCTTTAAATTCATCAAAATTTACGATTTCATTTTCAGTAATAGATTAATAACAACTGGCGACTGAAAAAATTAAAATAATTGTGCGAATGCAGGTTTGTTATTGCACCAAAATTTTCTCTGTAGAATACTTTCAATTCATTACAAAATTGTTTTAGGAAATCGTATTAGTACGGAATGCAATGTGAAGAGAATGATTTTTATCAACCATGTCGATATGTATAAATTGAGATATGTTTTTGATATGTTATAAATAATATACTTTTCCATATTACCTTACAGATAAAGATAAATTTTTCAAAATGTTGACTGTGAAATTTTAAAGCAACAATTAAATGCTTGAATTGGAATAAAGTACATAATTCAGTAATCTATCTCATTTGTGATGATATATATAACAATAAACATACCACATCATCGTTGATCGTATGTGTACCAGAATTACGGAATTGAAATACTCAATACGGTGAAAAACTCAAGAATCAGTTTGTGATGTTTTCTATCTTAACGGAATAATTCAACATATGCGCATTATTAATTTCAGAACCTAAACAAAACCAAATTATCAAGATGTATGTCATTTTTAAACACAACGGAATTTATAGGCATATCATCGAAGGGCGGGTAATAAAAACGAGAATAAAAATGATGTAGCGGCATGATATCCATAAGTGCTCCGAAGCAAACATAAATAGATGTAAATATATTCATAAAGAATTTATGAGCCCCTTCAAACGCCTCTTCAGCACCGCCTATCCATCTTTATTATCAGATCATGATAGTCCAGGAGCAACAATGAAATTATGACATAAGAAAGATGTCATCACATTGAAAGCCAATGAGATTTGAGATGAATGGTTTTGTAAGCCGAAAGATTCAATATATTCTCAAACCATTGTTGCTCTTTTCACCCTCTTTTCGGTATTTTTACCGATTTCGCCTCTGTATTTACCCATGTGCTTTTTTCAAGGACAATACATAAGCACTACAGGAAAATTGTTAAGGCACTCCAAGAGCGGTGCCTGTGCGAAATTAGCGATTCACGTTGGATTTGAATCGCTGGAGATTAAATTCTTTTAGAAAAACGTTCTCTGGAAGTTCCACATGAATGCAGTTCTCCAAATGAAAGAGGTCTTGAACAGTAAAGTTCGAGGTGTACTTCGTTGAACCTCGAAACGATGAGCAGCCACAGTCCGTCGCGTATTTCTGATATGTACCGCTCCTTGGTGGAATCAAATGTGCCAATTCACTTGAACACCTCCCGTGAAAGTATCTATAAAAGAGAGACGAATCTCCAACCTTTCTTTGATGCTTAGGGACGATGCTTAGGGACGAAGCTTCATTCATGTGAAGAATCCTCCACAGAAGGTTTGACCTGAGCATCATAAAGCATCAAAAGTAGCTGAAGTTTGTACAGTTTTCTGGTTCGAAACAGTGTTCCAAGCTTTTGAGAAGCAGCTTCTGCAATTCCAGCGACATGATTGTGCCAAGACATATTGCTATCCATTCTAACCCCCAACAAACTTATCGAAGCAGGAAGCGGAATTGTTTGTCCTGACACTATTATATTCGGTTCCGAGACATTTATCTTTTTGAAAAAAACCTATTCCTGGATTTTTGTGGCATTGAATGGAACCTGGTTACTTTCACCTCGATTCAAAATCACCTCTAGATCCTTATCAAGATATGCAACCTCCTGCTGCCTGTGAAGATGTGCATCCTCAGCCGATGACGTGGAATGCAAATGGTATGACGAGACAACTGTGCTGTCGTCAGCAAAGCTGTACATTAGATTCTTGGTTTTTATCAATAAGTCGTTGATATACAATAAAAAGATGGTAGGAGACAATGTTGATCCTTGAGGAACACCAGCGTTGATGTTAAAAGGATTCTAGAGCCATAGCATCGAAGTTTGACCAACAAACCCTTATGCCACACACGGTCAAAGTTCTAGAATATCAAGCGCAACAGCTCTTGACTCTCCATGTTTGAAATTACTTTGGCAGTTTACAGTTCATTTGAACTACTTCTAGATTTGTGTCATACAATTTTCAACAATTTGATCTTCCCACTGGCATATATAAAAAATAATGTCCTCTACGACTACATATTCTGATTCTGACGAGCAAACTTACAAAATAGTAAGGTTTTCTGTTACCCTCTAACATTCAAAAAATTTCGGAAAAGCTACCTATTGAATATGGAACATAAAACACAAGAATAGGATAATATGAGAGTCATAACAATGAATAACAATTTTTTCCTCATATCATGTGGGGATTATTCTCTGG